CTCCTGATAGACCCCCGCGCCGCCCCTGACTGGACCCGCGGCCGGGGACGAGGGGGCGGGCCGGGGCAGGCCGGGGCGCGGGGGCGGCAGGGCCTCGGCACCCCCCCGGCGGGAGGCTGGCTCTCGGCCCAAGGCTCACGTCGGGCGATAACCCCCTGCAGGGGGACGTTCGACGCAAAAGGAAAACGCTCCAGACTGTTTTGGGATTATGTTTTGATTCTTTTTGGGAAAATCGCACCTTTGGGCGTGGCGTCATGGGGGGGTCACAACTGGGGGGGTCAGAAAAGGCCCCCTTTTTTGTGCCCCTTGCGGACCCCTCCAGGGCCCCAAGGGGGCTCGTTGGGGTACCGTTTGGGCACCTCTTCGGACCACACTCGCCACCCCCTCATTTATGATCCCCCATTACGCAGCGCCCAACACCTGCCTGCACCTGCCTCCTCCCTGTCCGCCGGCGCCGGCAGGCCAGCAGGCCAGCAGAGGGCCCGAGGGCGGGCGGAGGGAGCGCAGGTCGCGCCGTGCGCAGGGGCGGCGGCGTGCGGGGGCGGCGGCGTGCGGAGCGCTCTCGGGGGGCAAGGGCTCGGGGGCTCGGCTCCTCGAGGAGCACCGCTCCACGGGGAGGCAGCGCTGCGCTCCCCAGAGAGGCGCTGCCTTTTCGTCGTCTGGGCGCCCGGAGTGGATACGGAGCAGACCCAACGATGCCCAGCAACCAATACAGCCCATGCCGAGAGAGGCTACTGTAATGGACAGCGGCCGCGGCGACGGCGACATCGAAGCCGGTCCAGAATGAACAGGAACTGCTGCGAGAATGTGCGCACACTGTTTCGGTACCCATTTCTGCCCCACTGATACGCTCTCTTCTAGTGTGGCCTCAGCCTTTTTTTATAACCGCCTGGTTCACAGATTCAGCAGGACTGGCTGTATGATGGCACAAGGGGACGAGGAGGAGGAACGATAGCGAGGTGTACGTAGAATACATCCGCTGAGAGGTGGTGGAGCCATGGGGAGAGTTGCTCTTCTCCCGCATCAGCACGCAACGAGAACTGCACCCAATGTTGACTTCAACCTGGCGGCGGCCCAGGCATAGCTCTAGCTATGTTCGCCAGCGTGGACCCCATGTTTCTATCAATAAATGTTGCGCAACAAAGTTGGTGCAATCTATGTTGCACAATCCATGTGGAGCAAGCAATGGTGTGCAGTCTACTTGGTCCAAACATAGGTTGTGCAGTGTTGAACGTATCTGTTGCAACCGATGATATGCAATAGAAGGATCTACAGTCGGGGCGTTGACCTAAGGAACCCTAAGTAAGGAACGGGGCCCCTTTTTCCCAGAAGTTCAACTTCGTTTTCATATCGAGAACATCGGACAACCTGAGGCAAGCCGTGAAACACTTCAGGAACGCGGAGCCCCTCCCCAACAAAAAGGGTTCCTTCTTCAGGGCCCCGACTGTATGTGGTGCAAATTCTGCTGTGCAAGCTATGGTGTGAAATCCGTGTGGTGCAATGCAAGATGCTCCGCCAGCAAGGCCCAGACGACGGGCGGCGACGCGGCGGCGACGGAGCCGACAGGGCGGCGGGCCCGACAAACAAGCCCAGACGACGAACGGCGACGAGGCGGCGACGGCGGCAACAAGGCGGCGGGCCCGACAAGGGAGCCCCGACGACGGGCGCGACGAGGCGGCGACAGGGCGGCGACAGCGGCAACAAGGCGGCGGACCCGACAAGCGAGACCAGACGACGGGCGCGACGAGGCGGCGACAGGGCGGCGACAGCGGCAGCAAGGCGGCGGGCCTGACGAACGAGCGCAGACGACGGGCAGCGACGAGGTGGCGAAGGCGGCAACGAGGTGCCGGACCCAACAAACGAGCCCAGCTTCGTAGAAGAAAAATCAAGGCCCCAGAGTGCAAGCACTATTTGTGGAAAAGGAAATCCGCGCTTAGACTAGTATGTCGAGGAGTAGGAGGAGGAGGAGGAGGAGGAGGAGCAGCAGGAACGCGAACACCAGAGGAAGAAAGGCGAACCCGCTCCGTCATGAATGACCACGTCCGGAAGCCGCCTGACCGACGCGGCTGGAACATCAAATTCGCTCCAGAAGGCCTCGAAGTTGAGACCTGTACAACCATACGACACGCATGACGAACTGAGCCCCTGGGGAGAGATGGAAGAAGGGGAGACCAACTGCGAAGAGGACGAGGAGAGCCAATGCGACAGACGACCACGCCGACTGCGACGACGACGACGTCGACGACAATGACGGACGACAGCGAAGAAAAAGACGACAAAGACAGCGACAACGGCGGCGAAACCAGCGCCAACGGCTGCGGCTGTTTAACGTCGAGGCAGACGACGCCGACCGAGACGCCGACAACGACGTCGATGACGACGCCGACAGCGCCGACAACGACACAGACGATCCCTCCCTTACAAATCGGAACCTGGACATCGCCTGGAATGGGCGCTAGCTAAAATCGCTATGGAAATCCAGCCGCGAAAGTCCTTCAGAAGCTCCAACATGCTTGAAAACACCCACAGTATCGATCCTCGGTCCTGCCTCGATCTTTCCAGACGGCTTCGGTGGCATCGACCACGACAACGACGCGCCCTAGAAGTCTCGACCGCGACCCCTGCCCTGGGGACAGCATTTCGTTCCAGATCAATGGTTGACGGTCCTGGGCTCCGAAAACTGCCCCATTGGGCCCGAAACGACGGAAACAAACCTCTCAAATGAAGAACGTCCAACACACTTTTAACCTCGAACCTCGAACGACCTTCGACGACGGCGTCGACGACGGCGGCGGAACCGCGCGAAGATCTCCCGCGACTGCGACGACAAGGGCGACCACGACTGAGGGGCAACGATAGGGGAGCACTGCCAGAGGTGGAGAGGAAACATGGAGCTGGAATCGGCGATACACCGCCGATAGGTCGGCGTTAGGCCCCCGTAGCAAATCCGCACGGGTGCGGGGCTGGGCAATCGTGCCCCTATCGGCGATCAGTGGGCGATTGGTGGTCGATGCATCCCCCGCTGAGCCAATCTCCGCCCCTGGTGGTTTTGGGGCCATAACTCGGGTCTCCGGCGGCCGCTCGGGAAGATCCGGGCACCCCTGGAACGCTCTCGGCGAGGCGCAGCTGCTGAAACGCACCCCGAGGCAGGCAAACCGCCAGGACCCGACGAGCACGCACGACACCCTTGAACCTCGAACCGACAAACGTCGCATTCTGAGCCTGGCCCACGACCACCCTACCGTTGCGCCTGAACGACGCGACGAGGACGACCCGCGCCTCCGGCTGCGGCTGCTCCGGCCTCGCCTCGCGTGGCGGCTCGGGCTCCGCCTCTCGGCCGCCAGGGCCGCCGAGACACGCTGCCCAGGCCCGTGGCCCCTCCTGGAGCGCCTTCCAGCTCCCCCACCCTATGTATATATATATATATATATATATGTATAGGTCCTCCTCTTCTTTTCCTCCTCCTCCTCCTCCTCCTCCTCCACCTCCTCCTCCTCCTCCTCCTCCTCCTCCTCCTCCTCCTCCTCCTCCTCCCCTCATCCTCCCCTTCCTCCTTCTCCTCCTCCTACTCCTCGTCCTTGTCCTGGTCCTCGTCCTTATCCTACTCCTCCTTTTCCTCCTCCTCCTCCTCCTCCTCCTCCTCCTCTTCCTCCCTTGCCTCCAAACGCAGGAATCTTGTTGATGGTACTACGAATCGTCGCTCAAAATGTGGAGTGGGCGGATTACACGCGATTGGAAGAGTTATCGACCTTCACCCCGACCACCGACATTTTGTTGCTGAATGAGGAGATGGTTCAGACCAACTTGCCCAACCACACGTGCGTGTTGTTTGGTTTTCGCAACTCCCGATGGGCAAATCGATCATGTGGACTTGCAGTGCTGTACAGCTCCACGCTCAGGGGCACCTTGCAGCAGACGCTGTTCCCACCCAGGTCGCGGGGCATAGCAGGCCGCATTGCCATGGCAAAGTCCCACCAGCCCTTTGGGCGTGAGTGGTTTAGAGAGCCCGCTCTGTCCTCAACCCCCCTTCTTCCCCTTCGGGGAGGGGTTTACCCCTCCCCCTACCCCCTCCCCCTGGGCCTGGAGAGGGAGTCCGGCGGGTGGTCAGAGGGGTCTTTTTCGACTCCTGGGAGGGCTAAAAAACGACGACCCTCACGAGGATTCTGGCCCCGACGGGGGGGCTGAGAAAAAAACCTCTCCTCTTCTGTGAAGCCAAATTGATTTTACTAGGGTTTTGGGCCCATTTTGGGCTTCTGAGGGGGCAGCGCTCATCGTCCTTCATAGCAAAATCAATGATTTCACGAAGGTTTTGGGCTCATTTTGTCCTTCTCGGGGGGCAGCGCTCATTTGCGCTTCTGAGGAGGTCGCCAGAGGCCCCAAGATGGCCCCAAGAGGCCCCCAGGAGGCTCCCAAGAGGCCTCCAAGAGGCCCCCAAGAGGCCCCCAAGAGGCCCCAAGAGGCCCCCAAGAGGCCCCCAAGAGGCCCCCAAGAGGCCCCAAGAGGCCCCAAGGCCCCCAAGAGGCCCCCAAGAGGCCCCCAAGAGGCCCCCAAGAGGCCCCCAAGAGGCCCCAGAGGCTCCAAGAGGCCCCCAAGAGGCCCCACGAGGAGCCCGAACGACTCACACCAGGACGAGGCGCCCGAACGACTCACACCACGAGGAGGGGCCCGAACGACTCACACCAGGACGAGGCGCCCGAACGACTCACACCACGAGGAGCCCGAACGACTCACACCACGAGGAGCCCGAACGACTCACACCAGGACGAGGGCCCCGAACGACTCACACCACGAGGAGCCCGAACGACTCACACCAGGAGGAGGAGCCCGAACGACTCACACCAGGACGAGGGCCCGAACAACTCACACCACGAGAAGCCCGAACGACTCACGCCAGGACGAAGAGCCCGAACGACTCAAACCACGACGAAGAGCCCGAACGACTCACACCAGGAAGAAGGGCCCGAACGACTCACACCAGGACGAGAGGCCCGGAGATATGCGGGGGCAGGCGGAAAGACGCCTGAAAAACACGACTGTCGGCATGCTTCGCAAGAGTTGCTGTTTTGAGATGGGCTGGTGGGGATACGCGAAGCGTGAAGAATTAGAGCCTGCTCGTGCGCGCTGCCTGCGGGTCGCGCAACATCGCAACCCGACGGGAAACTCTGCGACAGGCTGGATCGGTACAGCCTGCCTACAAGGGCCCCTGAGGCCGTCTTGGACTGAGAGAGGCAAGAGGAAAGGTGAAGGCGCAATAGTCTTTCACAAACGATGACGGTGAAGAAGATGAGAAGGAAGGACAAGAAGAAGGAGAGCGGAGACGAGAGTGGGCAAAGGCAATCAGGAGCCAGGCGCCTCGATCTGCTGCCAGGGTCTCCAGCAGGATGCAAAAGAGAGGCCAGTTAAAGTCAGGCTCTGACCGTCGCAGCACGAAGCCCGTGCTGATGCTACGAACCTACCGTTGCGGAAGTGACGACTGCTACCTCCATATGTTCCAGATTCTAACGAGAACGTCCCAGACACTTTTCGGGGCTTCTTCGATACTGATGACCTCACAATCCCAAACTGAATTGTCCGTCTTGACCCAGCGGTCCTTCATCCACATGGAGTTTGGGTCGCAAGTTCGGTTGCACGAGCTCCAGCCGGCGTTCTTCTTGTAGCACTTCGCGTACGGGTCAGAGCAGCACTTGGAAAGTGCGCAAGACGCCCCGTTTTCCGTGCACGGGAGCCGAATCTCCTCGCAATCCCAAACTTTCTTGTCCGTCTTGACCCATCCATTATCCTCCGTCCACATACTGTTTGGGTCGCAAGTTTGGTTGCACGAGCTCCACCAATCATTCTTCTTGTAGCACTTCGCATCAGGCTCAGAGCAACACATGGTCTGTTCGCAAGATTGCCCTGTCTGCGAGCACGCGGAGGCTGTCGAAGCATCGGAGCTGCTCGCGGAGTCTGCTGGAACATCGGTAGCAGCGACATTGCCGGCATCGGAGTCAGTCGAAACATCGGTACTATCAACACTGATGACCTCACAATCCCAAACTGTTTCGTTGGTCTTGACCCAGCGGTCATCCATCCACTTGGAGTTTGGGTCGCAAGTTCGGTTGCACGAGCTCCAGCCAGCGCTCTTCTTGTAGCACTTCGCGTACGGGTCAGAGCAGCACTTGGAAAGTGCGCAAGACGCCCCGTTTTCCGTGCACGGGAGCCGAATCTCCTCGCAGTCCCAAACTGTCTCGTTCGTCTTGACCCATCCATTATCCTCCGTCCACACGTAGTATGGGTTGCAAGTTTGGTTGCACGAGCTCCAATCATCATCCTTCTTGTAGCACTTCGAGCCTGGCTCAGAACAGCACTTGGAATTTGTGCAAGACGCCCCATTCTGCGAGCACGTGCCGTTCTCGTCCTCGGCTTCTGCATCTTTGATGGGATCCGCTGATTCGACAGGAGTCACGGTGAGGTCCTTGCAATCCCAAACTGAGTTGTCGTCTTGACCCAGCGGTCCATCATCCACATGGAGTTTGGGTCGCAAGTTTGGTTGCACGAGCTCCACCAATCATCCTTCTTGTAGCATTTCGCGCCGGGCTCAGAACAGCACTTGGAAAGTGCGCAAGACGCCCCGTTGTGCGTGCACGGGGGCCGAATCTCCTCGCAATCCCAAACTGTCTCGTTCGTCTTGACCCATCCATTATCCACCGTCCACATGTAGTATGGGTCGCAAGTTTGGTTGCACGAGCTCCAACCATCATTCTTCTTGTAGCACTTCGCGCCAGGCTCAGAGCAACACATGGTCTGTTCGCAAGACTGCCCTGTCTGCGAGCACGCGGTAGCAGCGACATTGCCGGCATCGGAGTCAGTCGAAACGTCGGTACTATCAACACTGATGACCTCGCAATCCCAAACTGTCTCGTTCGTCTTGACCCAGCGGTCATCCATCCACTTGGAGTTTGGGTCGCAAGTTTGGTTGCACGAGCTCCAGCCAGCGCTCTTCTTGTAGCACTTCGCGTACGGGTCAGAGCAGCACTTGGAAAGTGCGCAAGACGCCCCGTTTTCCGTGCACGGGAGCCGAATCTCCTCGCAATCCCAAACTGTCTCGTTCGTCTTGACCCATCCATCATCCACCGTCCACTTACTGTTTGGGTCGCAAGTTTGGTTGCACGAGCTCCAACCATCATCCTTCTTGTAGCACTTCGAGCCTGGCTCAGAACAGCACTTGGAATGTGTGCAAGACGCCCCATTCTGCGAGCACGTGCCGGTCTCGTCCTCGGCTTCTGCATCTTTGATGGGATCCGCTGATTCGACAGGAGTCACGGTGAGGTCCTTGCAATCCCAAACTGAGTTGTCCGTCTTGACCCAGCGGTCCTTCATCCACATGGAGTTTGGGTCGCAAGTTTGGTTGCACGAGCTCCAATGGTCGTTCTTCTTGTAGCATTTCGCGCCGGGCTCAGAACAGCACTTGGAAAGTGCGCAAGACGCCCCGTTGTGCGTGCACGGGGGCCGAATCTCCTCGCAATCCCAAACTGTCTCGTTCGTCTTGACCCATCCATTATCCACCGTCCACTTACTGTTTGGGTCGCAAGTTTGGTTGCACGAGCTCCAACCATCATTCTTCTTGTAGCACTTCGCGCCAGGCTCAGAGCAACACATGGTCTGTTCGCAAGACTGCCCTGTCTGCGAGCACGCGGTAGCAGCGACATTGCCGGCATCGGAGTCAGTCGAAACATCGGTACTACCAACACTGATGACCTCACAATCCCAAACTGTTTCGTTGGTCTTGACCCAGCGGTCATCCATCCACTTGGAGTTTGGGTCGCAAGTTTGGTTGCACGAGCTCCAACCGGCGTTCTTCTTGTAGCACTTCGCGTACGGGTCAGAGCAGCATTTGGAAAGTGCGCAAGACGCCCCATTTTCCGTGCACGGGAGCCGAATCTCCTCGCAATCCCAAACTGTCTCGTTCGTCTTGACCCATCCATTATCCACCGTCCACATGTAGTATGGGTTGCAAGTTTGGTTGCACGAGCTCCAACCATCATCCTTCTTGTAGCACTTCGCGCCGGGCTCAGAACAGCACTTGGAAAGATCGCAAGACGCCCCAGTCTGTGAGCACTTGTCGGTCTCGTTGGGATCAGCGCCACTCACATTGCCGGCGGCCTCGACAATGATAGCCTCGGGGGAGGCAAGCGTCGCGGTCCCCGTGGAGGGCCCCGCGCGCCAAGCCACAACCAGCAAAGCCAGCGCCGCCGCGGCCGCCGACAGCGCCGCCGCCCCGGCAAGAGTGCGCTGCTCGCGCGGCGCGCGCAGCGCACGCGGGGCGATCGCTCCTGGCTCGCAGTCGCTGTCGAGGGGGAGCTGGAGCGGCAGAAACGGGCTCCTGTCCGCGCGCATGACGGGCGAACAATCGAGATGCAGCGGGCGCCTGTCGGGTGGGAGCGCGAGCCTCGGGCCTTGAGACAAAATGATTTGAGCCAAAATGGCTACGGAAATGGCTTGAAGCCCTCTTGGTGCGCCTCGGAGGCTACCTGAGCCCGCATCGGAGCAATGATGGGCGTGCTGGGGCTGTTTTGGAGCCGAGGGCCTCGTTTAGAGACCTCGTGGCGTGTCCGAACTCATGTGAGGCGCTGCCCCGAGCCCTCTGGGGCGATTTTGGGTGCCTCTTGGGCCGTCGTGGCGCCCTCTTGGGGTGTCTTGGGGTCCTCTTGGGCGCCTCTTGCGCCGTCTCCGGGCGTCGGGCAGCGGAGCAGGCGACCACAGGAAAATCCATGAAAGACCATCGGGAAATCAATAATTGTCGCCCCGGGGGCCTCTCGGGGATCAGCTGGAAGCTCTCTTGGGGCGTCTTGGAGGCCACGTGAGCCGTCTAGAAGCAATGGTCGGCGCGTTGGGAGCGCAGCGGTGCTTTCTGGCTCAAGATATCCTGCTACTATGACTAGATACCCCAAACGACTCACACCAGGACGAGGGGCCCCAACGACTCACACCACGAGGAGCCCGAACGACTCACACACAAGGAGGGGCCCGAGCGACTCACACCAGGACGAGCGGCCCGAACGACTCACACCACGAGGAGCCCGAACGACTCACACGCAAGGAGGCGCCCGAACGACTCACACCAGGACGAGGGGCCCGAACGACTCACCCCCCGAGGAGCCCGAACGACTCACACACAAGGAGGGGCCCGAACGACTCACACCAGGACGAGGGGCCCGAACGACTCACACCACGAGGAGCCCGAACGACTCACACACAAGGAGGGGCCCGAAGGACTCACACCAGGAAGGACGAGGGGCCCCAACGACTCGCACCACGAGGAGCCGGAACGACTCACATATCTGCAACGCACAGAGAACCGAACTCTTGCATTATCTCTGTCTTGCGATCCCTCTGCAGTTCGAACTTTTCCAGTTCTTCCCGACATGCCTACACACAGCGCAGAGCAACGTCGAAATGAGATTGAAGAAGGCAGAGCGTCACGTGCTGACTGGGAATTGAACCGGTCGTCGTCGTCGTCGTCGACATCGACGTCATCGTCCTTCGTCGTCGTCGTCGTCGTCGCGGTATGATGGCGCTGGCACAAAGATAGTCACAGGAACGCAAAGGATTCAACATAAAGCAAAACAATACTGATAACACTCAATTTACTACATCTGCGACTGCAAAATTGCCAGCAGTCTATATTATCCATTGACAGCCTTTCAACACTTATACAACCCGTTGTAAGCCTTGAAGAAGTCTCAAACTTCATCATGGCAGCCTTCTATAGTACTGTAGCCTGAAGATATTGGATCCTTGCAGCACGGTGGCGGGATAGACCACAGACCACTAGATATCCTGTGGCGGGATAGGCCGAAGGCCAGTAGATAGCCTGTGGCGGGAAAGGCCGAAGGCCACGTAGATAGCCTGGAGCTCTTCGATCCTTGGATGCCCTGTCGTGGCACTTTCAGCCTGCAAGAGTTGGGGAGGCCTTCTTCCTGCTTTGGTTGTTTTTCCTTTCTTTTGTGAGCAAGGGCGGGTGCAGTTCAGCCAGCACGTTGCGTAACGCACGACACTCCTACTGCGCACCAGCGCGGCACACGAAGCATCGGAGGTTCGACTTCCAGGCCTGGCCAGGGCCCGATCGACCTCCAAAGAAAAAATCGCTTGCCCCCTCACCCCCTTGGCAGCGAGGGGAAAGGTTCAAATTCTGTGCGTGTGTTTATGTGTCTTTTGTTGTTGTGTATATGCGTGTGTTTTGCGTGTGTTTTGCATGTGTGTGCGCGTGTGTGTTTGAGGGAGTTGGGTGCCCTAATTTCGCAAGCAGGCGAGATCGTGCAAATAAAAGCTCGACAGTGGCGCGTGTCTGGGGCACCCCGCGGTGGCCGCCGCGCCTGCGTGCCCTCGGGCGTTAGCCGCAACAACGCTGCTGCCACGAGGGCGGGGCCAATGGGGCAAGGAGTGAAACATGGATCACAACAAAAAGTGGCGAGCCCGTAAGCGTGATGGCCGATGTAACCTAATTCAGCAACGCTGCAACATCGAGGCAAAACCCGGATGGGCGCGATCGTTTCGCTCGCTCTCCAGAGTGAAGAGGCTCCGAAGAGTGCCCCCCCTGTCGTCGCCGTTGCGTCGGCGTCGTCGGCGTCGCCATTCACGTTCTCGTTTCGTCGTCGTCGTCGTTGTCTCGACGACGTCGTCGTCGGGTCGTCGTCGTCGTCGTCGTCGTCCTCCGCGTCGGCGTCGTCGTCGTCGTCGTCATCGTCGTCGTCGTCGTGGTCGAGCGGTCATCGTCGTCGTCGTCGTCGTGGTCGTGGTCGTCGTCGTCGCCTTCGACGTTTTCCACGTCGTCGCCGTCGGCGTCCTCCACCGATTATCACTGCTACGCACTGAAGACGCTCTCTGCTTCGGCAACTTCCGAAGCAGACAGACTGGGAATCTAAACGCCCCCGCCAAGCAAGAGCTTCACCTCTGCTTCATAAAGTTCTTGGAGAGATACTAACTGGATGCCTACCTGGTCGGACTGGGTGGCCCTTTCGGCTATTCCAGTGCGCCCAAGCGCCTCGACATCGGACTTAAACACGTCACCCAATGCACCAACACAGAGCCACGTCTCCTCAGTCAGTTTGCGGAAGTCAACAACGGGTGATTGCGGTGTATCCACATGTAATCTCACCAATGAACCATCACTGAGTAGGGTAACCAGCACCATCACAGAGTACTCAGTAACCGGCACCAGAGAACCAAAGTACGGGCTCCAGCCAGAGTGGAGTATAAGGCCCACCTGAAGCGCCACTGAAAATCACTAGAGGCATATCCTCCATTGGATAGATACCGAAGCCGTAGCCGTGCATACAGGAACCCCCGAACCCATTGAGGCAACATCTCGTTTCCAGCCTCACTATACCCAGAGATAATGTCGCCAGTAAAAAATCTGCGTCGACGGGCTCCGCGCGGTACCTCATCGCCCCCAGGCTTTGCTCCACCATTCGGGAATCGGTTGCAACTCGTCCAAGAACTTCCGGTCGTCGGCGGATATCGCTCCGTCGCTACCCGGCCAGCGTTTCTCTCCGAAAAAGACGGGGTCAGCGGGCATTTGGCCCGGTGCATGCGGCAATGGCACTTGCACTTTCGCTTGCTCTTCTGCAAAGCTTTGCGCAGGTGGCGCACTCGTTCTTCCATGTCAGCGACGCACTCCTTGCGCTCTAGCTTCATGCGATTGCTATTCTTGTGGTGATCCAGTAGTTTTTGGTTGAACTTACGGGCCCCGAACCTGCAAGTGCACCTCTGGCACGTGTACGTCTCCAGGTCACACGGGTCGAATCCTAGCGCGCGGCATGCTTTGCAGACCAGAGTTGCGCCCTGAGAAGACTCATGATTCTTGCGTTCAGACTTCGACCAGTACTTCAGCTCATACGCCGTTGCACATTTCCCGCACCGCAGCTTCGTCTGACAGTCCAGGCACACCAAGCGGGCCTTCTCCCGCGTCTTCGCGTGGTACAGCACGTGCTTCTCGAACGCGAGGCTGCCCAAGTGCTCCAAGCAATATTCGCACTTGTGCTCGTCGAACTTGCCGGGCGCGAACCCTCGCTCTGCGCAGCCCGGGCACGCGAGGTCTCGATCGGAAAGCCTATGGTGCTTCATAATGTTCGCGCCCCACACGCCTTCCTCAAAGACTTCTTTGCAAGCAGAGCACCCGTGGCTCTGCGGGGTCAGGCTCCTCTTCCAGTCATCACGTTCCACACGCCGCTTGCATATTGAAGGGTCTGGCGGGATTCTCCTTGGAGCGTTTCCATCGGCCATCCCTTGGGAAGCCTCGGCCGCCCGCGCAGACCGACAAGGCGTTGGGCCGATCTCGCGCGCGCAGTCCATACATCTCATCCACCTCCCCTGCGACACGTACTTCTCGTAGAAGTCGGCGGCTGCTTTCATGCCGAAGTCGCGAGCGTCGAGCATGTACTCCTGCTTCCCTTTGAGGTAGCAGCAGGCGCACAGGTGCTTCCTCGCCACGGGGTCCATCTTCTCAGCTTCAGCGGCCTCGTCATCAAGCGCACTCCATTCATGGGTCGCTTCGTCTGCTGTGATCTGGCCGGAAAGCTTCCGCATAAGTCGCTCGGGCCCCACTGGGTTGCCGAGGCCGAACAGAAAGGTCGAGAACGGCTGCATGACGCAGACGTTTAGCAATCGCTTCACTCTGGACAAGCATACGTAGGCAGCAATCTGAGCTGTCATGGACGCTCTGCTGGACCAATGCCGCAGGTCCGCGAATGCCGCTTCCAACGTCGCCCCCTGGATCATGTGAGCGGTGGAAGCGAAGTCGGGGAGAATCCAGAAGCCCGTGCGTCGGGCTTCGATGCCCGT